CCATCGGCACACGCATCGATGTGCATATGTTTATTTCTGGCCCGCAGTAGCCAACTTCGGTCAACATCAGAATGGGTGACCGTGCGTGAGTTTCTTTGTTCGTGGCTTCCGGGTCTATCTCTGCGTCCGGAATAGGGYTGTYTCTCTGTGTCCCTGTCGCGTCCGATTTATATGTGTTTACTTGCATGCGTTCTGGCGTTGATGTCTTGCTTAATTCATGGTTCTGACGCTTGCGTTTCGAAAAAAGGGTCCGCCATGTTGAGTTGTATGTACTACTGTTGGCGCCATTGTACGGAAGCATTGAGACTCTCTCTCTCTCTCTCTCTCTCTCTCTCTCTCTCTCTCTCTCTCTCTCTCTCTCTCTCTCTCTCTCTCTCTTGCTGTGTCCATGTATTTGTCTGTGTATACACTGCTCTCCAGATGTCAACGTTCACCACGACCGGGCAGAAAAGGAAGCTGGGCGGAGAGTGTCATGCAAGGATGGATGACTTCCTTCCCCCAGGCGGCAAGGACCACAATACACCTGAAACGGATCGAAACAGGGGTCGAACTGTAGTTAGCGACCGAGAACATATAGGCAGGCTAACAGAGGAGGTGCATAAGCAGAAAGTACTGCTTAGAGAGATGTTTGACGAACTACACCGCGTCAAGTCGCTTCTCGACGAAATGACGAAAACCGCAGAGCACAGGATGTTCACCGTGTTCTGGTTGTTGCTTGACAACCCGAAAGATATACTAGACGTTACTCGTCTGAGGGAGGACATGTCAGCCAGACTTCAGGCAATTGCTGAAACGAAGAACACCACGTTCGACGAGTTTCAGGCATGGTTGGATATTGAAAGGGAAAGGCGCACCACCGTCTTGAGGCGGTTCTCCACCCATGCCACGAAGACAACAAACAGGGAATCAGACGGAGGGGATGTCATGTGTTTTGCCAGCTGCGGAAAGTGTGTACTCAAGGAGGGGTGGGCATCGTACAATTCCCAAGATTACAACACAGGTTCGCTACCTACGACGGCACGCAACGTCGTTGACCTCTTAGCCTTCGCCGAGGACTGCATTCGCCACTGTACGGAAACTGTTGACGAGTACGGTCTGAGTGAAGTGCGTGTCGGGTCTGTTAATSACGAGCTTCCTGCAAAAATCGCGACTCTGCTGAGCAGTTGCTCCGACGTAATGGATGCCCTGCAACACACTCGAGGCAGGATGTTGGCTGGGGAACTGACGGTGACATGTACGGAAGGAGATGTTATGGGATGTGGAGAAGGTGAAACGAAGAAGGGAAGAGAGGAACCTGACAGACCAATCGAAGTGTGTTCGGGGAATGGGGCCACTCTTGGGAAGGATGCGCCTGCGGCACATGTCCTGTTTGCGTGCAGTGATGTTGCCGCACTGAAATCTCACCACGTGCGTCACAACTTCTCATGCGTGCTTGCCAGCAAAGCACCTTCGGCTGTACCAGAATCTTCTGTTATACCTATGACGACGGAAATTTTTGAAAATTTCGTTGCTGACGCAAACTCTCGACAAATGGCGAGGCTGGTGGTGGACTGTTTTTCGCATATAATTTCATATATCAAAGATATAATGGGACCGGTGTTACTGAACGCGGGCCGTCATGGAGCGGAAAAAAACTGTGAATATTGCAGGAAAGGACTTGACATCCATGAGCGCTTGGAAACTCTGTACAGAAGATGTCAAATTGTGGCAGCGCG